ACTCTTTCACTTGTTCCTGTGGAGCAGGTTATATTGGTCGTACGAGCCGGCGACTATCCAAAAGAATAAAAGAACACCTCCTGGCATGGCTGTGAAAGGGTGGAGCCAGGAGCATCGGGTGGACCTCAACGAAGCTTTCCCAGTGATCTACAGGGTCCCACCCCTGGGTCAGCGCCTGCTAGCAACAGCTAAAGCGACCGCTATCAAGCTGATGAAGCCCGCTTTGTGCGCACAAAAGTACTCCCTACAAGCCCCACAGTTGGCATGGCCCACAGTCACTTGTCGGCACGCAGTCATCCACGCTATGTCTGTATCCCTCCGCCGTTCCCTCCCCCCATCCCCTAGACTGCTCCATCAAACCCTACCCTTACAACCAGCCTTCGCTAATCAACCCCCTCCCCCATTCTCACTACTTACTTGTCTGGAAAAGACGAACACTTCGAAACTCGCACTCAGTTTCCATATAAATTCAAGGCCTGACGAGAATTTGTCAAAAGTACACGTATACACACCAAACTGGACTTGTTATGGTAAACTAGCAAATGGGAAGTTTAAATAATATCCTGTAATGAAAACGAAGGCAGAGTTCAACGTGTCTTCACTTTCAAAAAGTGCGTAGGATAAAAAAATATAATTAGGGTAGGATAGGCTAATTGTGTTAGGGCTGTTTCGAGTGGATAATGAAATGTGTGTATAATTTGCCCGTGGTCGCTAGTATGCGTAACGTGAAATCTCGCGAAGAAGCATCTGTGTTTGTAGGCTCCCGACATCTTAGGGTCCGAAGGGGAATTCTGTTGATGGTTGCTAGGCAACGAAACGGGAGCAGTGTGTTCATAAAGCTTCCATCGTTTGCATGACCGGTGGTTTATGGAGACATCTAGGTCCCCGGGGGACACGAGACAGATGATAAATTGTTTCAAGAGGCTCTCCTTCATTCCCGATGAGCCTTTCTTGGAGTCACGAAGAAAGCTGGTCGGAAGAGATAAGGAGATCAAATGGTTTATAGAATAAGTGTTAAGATAAATGTGCAGTTTTCGCTTGAAAGCAGGTAGATTGGTTGATAGCGCGAACATTCTGCTCGCTGTCATCAGAGTTGCTACTGGGCCCGGCCCATCTCATGTAACTGATTCTCCTGCTCAGGCAATATTAGAGTACCTAGTAAAGGAACGCCAAATCATTGCAGTTGTTGATGGACAGGGGGCCTGAGAACCATGAATCGAACAGCAAGCGGCTCACGTGGTGGTCACCTCTTCGGAGCATTTCGGCCTAGTCAAACTTGAATGCGCAACCGGGACCCTGCGAGCGAGCTGAAACGTGGGAGCTAGCGTCTTTCTTCCTTACCACCGCTGCATGCTCGGCCATTCACGTCCGGAGTAATCTCCCGGTTTCTCCGACGTAGTTGCTTGGTCAACAAGTACACAAGATCAGGTTAACGACTCCAGCCGTTCCCTGTCATGGCAGAGGGTCTTCCAGTCTCATGAACCGGCACCTGATGGTTGCTCCTGGCCTGTGCGCAACGCCAAACCCGATAGATGCTGCACGTACGGGAGAGCTCGCCAAAAGTATATGCCAGTTGGATGCGGCTTCTTCTTTCGTTTGCGTTTGCATTGGTTGACAACATTGCGCGGGTAATACTTCGCTCTCAGGACTGTCGAAGCTATTGTAATTCAGCAATTTTAACATCCACTTCGTTGCAATGCGGGCCAACGCGCAGCTAAAGCACTCTTACGCAGCTCCGTTTGTGCCTGATTGGGTGGTTGTTCTTCTAGTTAAGGACTCGCATACTTTCCTGAACCATTTAGCATTTCAGCCATGACCGTTTTTGCGGCAAACGAGGATATCAAGGAAAGCCAGCTGTTTGTTTTCTTTTCTTCGATCGTAAATGTTATGCCCAGAAAGACGGCGTTTAGATGTTCCTTGAGTGTCAGCACCTGATGCGGCTCAATTATGAATAAGATGTCGTGCACAATTTGGGACAATCTTAGCCGGAATATTTGACCCGGTAAAGAAATCAGAGAAGCTTCCCTCCACCGGCTGGGCAATGGCCTGTATCTCACTACTTAGAGCGTTGGCATTTTTGCCAAAGAGTAGCAAGTTCGAGCCTCGAATGGTGCACGATGGTGTAGTTGGATATCGATGGACGATAACACCTGATGGGCCAGAAATGGCCATTCCAGTCTCCCCGGTCTTTGACGGCAATAGAGTCTGCGTAGATTACTAGCCACAACGGTTGCTGTCAGGGCCCGAGAAGTGAGACCCAATACAGAGCGGGACCACTGATTTCCGTTGGCGGTCGGTAAATGGTCGTCTCCCGACGTTAACCAGAAAAAACAATAAGCTCGTAATTCAATGGTTAGGTCAGGTCATGTCAGGTTTTTTAGAAAAATATAGGTAAATACCTATGAACTACCTTTTTGTACAGACCTATGATGCAGACCATGTGGCGTTGCCAGTAATGCAACTGCGTTAGGAAGACAGACAGTAAAAAAACTCATTATGCATTGTTCACAAGTCTAGTTTTGAATGCCATTTGTGGGATTTTAAGGAGAACAACTGTCATCCGGGGGGTGGGAAGTGAAGATTATTTGCAAATGGGAAGCCCTGCTGCTAAAAACGTTTGAAGTATGTCTGGAGGAGCCGGTCGCGGTTTTTTCAATATCTTAAGGGTCACAGCGTTAGACCTAGGTCAGGCCAGGATTATTAAGACAAATATAGGCAAACACATTTGCACTTTCTATAGGTTCACACCATTTAGTAAAGGCGTCTGTACCGGAGAACATCTCCAACGATGTCGTTTTCATAACTGCAGGCGAAATGCGAGCGGACATCGGTTAGTTTGAAATAGTAAACATGCACGCCTACTCACTCATTGCAAGTAATCTAATCACACGTGTAAACAATAAATAGGACAATGCCAATTGACATGAGCCAGTAGGTGTAACTGATCAAAATAGCAGACAATGTAAAACTCCGTAGACATGGCCCATATATGCTAGAAGAGGGATGTTAAGGAGAAAAAAACCTTGGGAGAAATACATCTGCGAGACAGGAAGGGCCTGCTGCACAGAATGTCTGAGGCAAGTCTGCGGCAGACAGCCACTTTGCCTGTTTCTCCCTCCGTTCTCAAAGGGTCGCCGCCCCAAAGTCGCATCATCACAAAAAGTTGTTACAATGCTTTCTTTCACTGGCGCCCCCGTCCTCCGTGGCTTGACATCGCAGTTGCGTCTGACTAACTGATAACTGTTTCCTCAGCGTCCTCCGTGCTT